GCCAAGAGATACATAGTTGAATTGATAAAGCTACCCGTGTCAGAGAATGCATTACAACACGTAAAGAAATTCTACTATGCAGAAAAGGCGATTCAGAGTGAATTCATCAGACAGATTGAAAAGTGTTGTACAAGTATAGACGAAATCACCACCATTCAGACGAGCAGCACGTCTACAGCGTTTCGTCAATTGGCAGCGTTCATCTCGAGACAAAAGCAATTGCGAAAGATTGAGATTAGGTCAACACATGCATTGACTAACCTCTCTCCGCTCACAAGATATCTACATCAACATCGATGCTCACTTACCGAATTGGTTTTATCTGTTGGAAGACTGGATGAGGACGCCTTGGAATCCATACGAGAGTGCCATAATTTGGAGAGACTGACTCTACACAGGATACCATTGCGAAGCAAGCATCTGCGTCCGGTAGCCAATGCTGTATTTCACAGTCTTCGATATCTCTACGTTGGAGACATTGACGAGACCTGGAACGTTAAATCGCGCGACCGACCCAACAACGAATTAATCACTATAATCAAATTAGCAAAGGATACGCTTGATGAGATACATCTCAATGTCAATTTGAAATACTATAATGGGCTAGTAAAGACGATAGCTGGGCACTGCCACAAACTAAAGACATTCGAAACGTGCATACAATCTACTGATCAGATACAAGAGTTGTTTTTATTGCTAAAGATATCGCAATCATTGCAGACGTTATCTCTATCCCGTAGATGGAACAATGTGCTGTTTCAATCGTACAGATGTATTCTTGGAATAGTCAACTATATTCCAAAAACACTGCGTCGATTGGATCTGAAGGGAATGGAATTGGGTGTGAGTGATGTGAAAATGATACTCGACAGGTGTCCGCATTTAATGTACATGAGTTGGAAATGCGAAAATTTTGAGCGAGAGTATGAGAATGTAGTTAGAAAGTGTGCCGAAAAAAACGCGAGAAGAGTAAGAAAGTTTGGTTCCAAAAAGTTGAACGAGAGAGTGAGATGGATGATGGAAGTAGAATTCGAAGAGTAGGTGGTTATAGCATGGGGGAATAACTATAGTCAAGGCATATTAGTCTTCTAAACGAATGCTAGATATTAAGGTTGTCATGGTGGTCGTGGTGGTTGTGGTAAAAGACATTATCGTCGCGCACGTTTTCAAAGGCTGAATAGACCTGCGGCATTCAGTCACATGCAAGCAAATTCCAACTTTCCTGTTTTTCCCGAGATTCTCCGCCCGCCTTAATATCCGTCCGAGCCTGCTTAACGTCTTTGCTGTGCATATGTGTACAAGTTTAAACCATTAGCACTGGTCGAATTCATTCTGTCTTTGCACAGACGAATCTCTTAAGACATCAGACCGTAATTTGTTACGAATAAAATCCACCTGTTTGTATTAATTCGCGGTGAACAGCTGACCGAGGGATTGAGAATGCGTGGACATTGAGACTGTCACAGTGTCGTGTAAAAAATTATGGATGTTTTCACTGTGTTTATTATGTGTTTGTTATCATGTGCATTTATATAATTGACAACAATAATATTTTTTGTGATATATTTGATTGAATTGAAACAGATACTGTTACGATGTTATTTTATTTGTTACGGTGTTCTTTTATCTCAAGCCATGTCGTCAAACAGAACATTCTAATGGGAATTTACGTAAGGCTTTGTGAGAGTTAGTTGGAATACTATGTGAGAATCGGGGTATCAAGACATTTTGATCCAATTGTTCTTTACAAATTAATTTAGGATTTTTTGGAGGGAGGGGATAATCCGGGCAAATTTTGTAAAGATTGGTTGCATCTTTGGATATATCCCTTGTTTGCTGCATCTTAACTTTAAATGACTGGCCCAGTCAGATCGATGATCCTTGCCACTTTCGGAACAAGGTTTGCGTTTGGACGATAACGATAAATCTAAGATGTAACATGGAGGTGGCGTGACGGTGTAATCTTACCCGCTCCATTTCTATGAACGGTTTAGAGTTAAAGATTTAACATTTTTAGAAAAAAGGGGGAAATAAATAGAGAAGGGGATCTAACCGCTGATTCGGCCTGTCAGAATGTGTGAGAAAAAAATAGCGAGAGACCTGATTGCTTTTGATCAAGATTTGCGTACTGTTATACAAAAATATATTAATGCCCTAATTGATGAATACGAGTTTGCGAGTATCGATTTGTTTGTCATTTCTGTAATTTCATCAATATTCAATAATCGAAACATGAAACTTGCCGTCAAAGATTTGTTGATTTATTTACCGTGTAACGAAATACAGTTTTAAAAAAACCGGTTCACCGAAAGAGAACGTGAAATCATTCAAGTTTCGATGATGACACATCATTTGGGGGGAGGGAAAAGAGAGGACAGAGGACAATCGCCTTACTTTGCTTGTGTGATTAAATCATAAATAATAACGATAATAATATAATAACTACAACAGTACAGTAACAATAACCATAATGACAATGAAAACACCCCATTTCTAAATTGGAATTAAAAGCCCCATGAAACCATTATCATGACATATTTGTTGTCTCGGAGAATATCCGCTTACGCACCCGGAGTATTTTTCATTGTTCTGATTGGAGAATCCTCTCCCTGAAAATACACTCCGGCAACGCCAACATCAAACAAGTTATGTATGAATTGTTATTAGTTATTAATATCGATGCACCTGCATACCAAAATAGCAATATGCACGCCCATCGACGCTTTCGGTCAATAGAATCGATAATGAAGACTGGCACGCGATACATTCTTATATTGTTTGGCTGCGTTCCCGGTAAGTTTAGTGGGAACATTCCATCAATCCCAAGTGCAACCTGAATGTAAAAAAAGATCAGTTGCGCGCGTTACATTTGGAAGTTACGATACATTTTTGTCCAAACTTACCAATTAAAAGAGCTTGCTCCGGGTTAATGAGCCGGGACCTGCGAATAGATGTAGGGGTTATTGACTATTGACTATTGTAAGCGCACACACACACACAACACACGCACAAACAACCTCCCCCCGACCCTATCGCCCCCCATTTCTGATAAAATATATAACATGTATGGTAATGTATGTAATCTATGTAATGTACCTTACTTAACTAATGTAAAAAATCGCACACGCACGAGACAAAGAGGGTTTCTTTTATAAAAACCGGGAGAAAAAAAACGAACCAAACAATCTTTTAACTATAAATAGTATATATCACTTGCCAAACATCCCAACTCTACCAAACAACCTATCAAACAGCAGCCTATCAAACGAACTTTATAGAAGAACCTCGTCAACAAACCTCGTCAACAAACCTCATTCAACCCCAACTCGTTTGTTGAATCTTTTCATTGCGCGTTAGTTTATTTAAAAATATGAACCACAGTGGTTCACTTATTCCATCACCGTCTTCCCCATCAACTCCCACAACACCTCAATCACAAACAAGCAACTCGAGCATGACACTAGCACCTCCCTCTCCCGGTCCAGCAAAGGTTGGAAATAACACCTTTGTTCATAAACTATACAAGTAACTTACAGTTTCCTACTCTTTTTCTTTTTTTGCAATCCCAGTTTTCTCTTTATGTCGACAAAAAGAGAGAGTGTACAAAATAAAACTATGTGATTGAGCTTGTTCGTTGAATGTCTATTTTAATTGACTTTTGCCTTTTGTTCTCTGTTCATGTCTAGTATGGTTGTCGATAAACAATATCAACACCTTATAGCATGGAATTATAGTGGCACGTCTTTTATCGTCTGTAATATAATGGAATTCTCAAGAGATGTATTACCCAAACACTTTAAGCACAATAATTTTTCAAGCTTTGTACGGCAGCTGAATATGTAAGTGAGTGAGGTGTATGAATGAGACAGCGAGTGAGTGAGTGAGTGAGAGTGTAGGTGGTGAACGAGTAACTGTAAATGTGTGTGAGTGACAGAGTCTAGTTGATGAATGGGTGACTGTAAAATGTGAGTGACAGAGTGCGAGTGAGTGTGCGAGTGAGTGTGTGAGTGAGTGTGAGAGTGAGTGAGTGTGTGTGTGTGTGAGTGAGTGAATGAGTGAGATGAACAAAGGGAACGAGAATATGGGAAAGCATGGAGTTATCAACCGCCCTTTTCTTATTCATGTCAAATACATGATCTTGCCATTCACCTGCCAATCCTACTTTTCCTATACGCACCCTCAAAAAATAAAAAGGTACGGTTTCCATAAAGTAAATAAATCACCAAGAGGCCACCGAACACTAGCCGAGAATCAGATTTGGGAATTTTCACACACCAAATTTCTACGTGGTCGACCCGACTTGCTAGATGACATAAAACGAAAAGCAATGGAATCAGAGACATTACGAAGAGAAACAGGCGATTTACATGCTCAATTAACCATGATGCAAGTATCTCAAGCAGATTTGATGCAGCAGCTTGCACAATTACAAGAAAACTTTACCGAAGTAATTCGTGAGTTATCGGATACTAAACGTAAACAGTCAATACAGCAGCAGTGTATGAAGAGTATGTGGGAAATTATGCAGCAGCAAGGAATATCTGCACAACGTGAGTTTCGGTTCTAATTAAATATTGACAAGTACGAGCCAATTATTATTATTGTTGCTTAATCGTTTCACTCTTTCCCCAAAAATGTCTGCAGTTCCTATTGAGCTGAGCTTTTCTGATACTTTTGACGTCAAATCCGAGCCTGATCGTCCCCCGATATATATCACATCACCCGAGAATCAAACGCCATACTTGTACGGTCACGTACAAACACTCCCCCAGCGTCCTTCCACACCATTAACAATCAACACTAATCTAACAACACATTCGAGTCATTCGAGTCATCCGAGTCCGCGTGGGCAGAGTCCGACAGGAGGCAGATTGAGCGTGCAGCTAACGGGAAACTCATACTTGGGTGGACATAGTCCTACGCACAGTCTACTGGCGGGTCAGATACCACTGTCTCCCAATTCCCTAAGCGCATACACTACAGCGGTTAATACACCCTTACCACCTAGTCCATCACCGGGATCTCCCATGCCTAATATAATTTCAGATGATGATATGGATGGAGCAAGTATCTATGATGTCAGTCACAGTGGAAGTCATACACCATCCGAGTATGGGGATGATATTTATCAATAGGTGTGAACTTGAGAGATGCGGTTGGAGGGTGGAAAGCGGGGAGAAGCGGGGAGGAGGGAGGAGAAGCGGGGAGAAGCGGGGAGGAGAAGCGGGGGAGGAGACTATGGAGGTTTGAGGGGTGCTTCGATCGCGTGGGGGATCAACAAGTGTATACGGTATAATAGAGGAATTAATGTGTGTGTAGATCAAAAGGGTAATAAGAGGCTTTTGCTTTTTTTTTTCCTGTGGATGACAATGCAATGTCGTTGGCGAACAATTAACGTAAAATGAAACTGTTTATCAAACAGTGATTCATTTTTCATTTGGCGGATTAATATTAAAACGAGGAGGAGGAGGAGGAGGCAATAAACGGTGCAAGCGATGATGAAATTGTTGGAATGTGTTTTTTTTTTTTTCAATCAACACTATTCTTCGATCCTTCTTTCCTGTTTTTCTTTTTATGAATATATATACATATATATATAGTTTGGGGGATTTTTTTTGTTACCCTATTTTTTTTTCATTCTTTTCAACTGTCGGTATCATCTTTTTACATAACCGGCTAATAATATGAATTATACATTATTGAGAAGTGCAGACCGGGTTTTTCAGTCATTGTCGTAAAATTTACACACATAAACATTATATTCAGAGAAGCATTTATAGTCACATAGACAATACACACACCTGTGTTTGCGTAAATTGTAGTATATTTCAGTATTTTATATATATTATATATAGTATTATATATTATCAACAAATGTAGACAGTCGAGTTAAATCTGCATATTAATGAGCCGTATCCATTGTTTATACATATTTTTCTTTTCCCATCATCTCTAGAATTTCTTTTTTTTTTCTTCTTTCGTTTGCGTGAATAACATGAGAATCTGTGACCGATTTTTGACTGCAAATTGAAACATACCTTATATCCCCATATATATATATATATATACATATCTCCATATAATATATATCTTTACATTTTTTTGGGGCGGCTTCTTTTCTCCTTGTGTATATAATGCATCGAGATTATGTATGTATTGTATTATCTGTCTATTATATACGTAATTAGGATTATAAGAATACAATTACGGATCACATGACGTTATTACTAGTCTGATTATGGCAGACTCGTGTCTTTGTTTTATCGAATTAGTCACATTCGGTTGGCCGCAGATCCAAAATGAAACCGACAATGAGAGTATGCCCATTTCGAAAATGAATGGATTTAATTACCTTTTCGAGAAATCAATTTGTAATTGATGCGCAGTAAACAGCAAAGCCCTCGAGTGTATTAATAGTAATGGCATTTTTGAACGTATATATTTTTATTTGGAACCCACAAAGCTTATATTACTGCAAATCTCTACTCGATATTGTTTATGTGAGAATACAATAGCAATAATAACAAATATGCAATAAAGTCAACAGGAAAAGGCGGAAGGAGAAAAAATACAAAGTAAAAGAATTCAATTTGATAATTGGAAAGCAAAAGAAAAGAAAAAAAAGAATTACAAGAGCTGAGTTAGCAAACACTAATGGAAGAATATGAATTATTACAGAAATATAACAAATTAAAAAAGAAGAAGAGAAAAGAGAAAAGAACCAGCAAATCCAGCAATCCAGCAATACACCACTAAAAAAATAATAACATTAACAATTACTGATAGCATTACCACCTATAATATTACGTACAATTTTTCATTCTGAAATTGCCATTTTCTTTCTACTCGGGACTCTCTTCTTCGCCTTCACTCATAACAATATCTCCGTCAGGACTGCTCACGCTACTCACACGCCCACTTTCAGCTATTCCATCACCATTTCCAATACCATTCTCTCCCTTCCCCTCTTCGGCCTTTACACCATTCGCAACGCCATTCACTTTTCCCACGCCACGCCTTCTTCCTCCATTTCGCGTTTTCATTACTTCGAAATTCTGCACAACATAGTTCTTGCATTTGCGTGCGTTCGGAAGATCTTGAATCATTTTCCGAATGGTTGCCTGAGAGAAACCAAAATAATCGGGCCCAGATGCAGAATTGGAATGGTCGCGATGCCGGATAGAGTTGGCTTCACGAACTACGGTCGTCCATGCGCCTGTGGCTGTGTTTGCAATTATTGGTTTGCCTTGTTGGTCTTCGGCTTCTATCACAAACTATTATGTAGGTTGGAAAAAAAAAAAGAGGTTTAAATTCAGGATCAAATACCCACATGACATATGGACCATTTATATAACATACATACATGCATGCATACGTGTATATATGTATTCATGTTATATGATCGCTAGATACTTACTCTAGGACTCTCTCCGCCATCTTCGATTTTACAAGTGTACATGGTCTGCGCGTCAGGATTAATCATGCTATTATACATTCTATAAAATCAAAGATAATTTACAATAAATACATAATCCAATCCATCATCCATCCTTTTGCAAACACCTAATTTTAATCCCTTTTTTTCTCATTGTCTTACCTTTTGACGGCATACCCAACGGGCCAGATGTACCGTTCGTTGTGAAAAGTATTTCGATCCCAAACGACTGTTCCCAAATGCAATACTGTTAAAATTCCAATCTGTACTGGTAATTTGTATTGTCCATTTTCGTCCTTTTCCACATGCTGTACTTTCATAGTCTTTGTACTGACTGGTCGTTTGCTGGCACGTTTTGGTTTGGTTACTACTGGCGGAGGAACGGGAATAATGTTTGTAGTAATATTTGGTCTCTTTCCGGCTGGTTGTGAAGACGGTGTGCGTGAGCGAGATTTCTTGATTGTCAAATGCGAAGACGCTGTTGATGATGGGCGTTGTGAAGATGCTCGCGAACTTGCTATTGAAGAGACTAGAAGGCGAGTGAAGGGGAGGGTAAAAAAAAAAAGAACAGCAATAATAGCAATGATGGAAAAGAAAATAAGTTATTCGCCCAATGATGTATATCGATCCGGTCAGTGTCTGATTCTTAATCACTCGCAAGATTACTTACTTTCGGTTTCAGATGATTCAATTTCTGATGCTGGTATAGAATTATCTGATGAAATAAGACTGTCATCTTCCGAGTCGTCAAATTTTGTCAGTCGTTCAAGCAAAAGACTTGAGGGAGGAGGAGGAGGAGGAGGAGAGAAAGGGTAAATTAATATCGACGTGGACAGACAAGTCTGGAACATCCTTAATAGCCTTGTATATACTTACTCTTTTTCTCGTTTCAAAGATCGAATACGTTTCTTTGCACGTTCCAAATCATTTCGTACAGTATCTGCTACCTGTTTTGAAGCAAAGTGTCACGCCGTCAGTAACTGAACGTTGCGCGACATTGTCGTCATAAAGCTTGTCACGTATAACCCGTTTCCGAAAACACTATGCTCGATAACAGAAGCACTATCCTACGTGAATTCACAAATCCAACACGAATGTTTCCACGCATGCAGCCATTTTTCGCCGCCACACACGTACATAAAGACACGTATACACGTATACAAACATACACACAGACACACATACACACACACACTCACACACTCTCTCTCTCACATGCACGGACTATACCCTTTCTTCTCACACTCTTTTTCTTTACCCTGTCACTTTCACCTTTATTTCATCACACCCATTCGCCATCACCATTCACTCAATCCCTTTTATTACCTGTTGTATATCTTTGTATTTCCTCTTTAGTTTATGGTACTTGTCAACCATTGACTCTGTTGTGGGTTGTCGACCACGAACAGATGTGTCGTTAGTAGTTGTTTGTCGTGAGCGAGTAGTCTGACTGTGATTCTGAGCCATTGTTTAGATGTCGAATTGAGATTGCTGAATTGATTTGTGTCAAAAGGCTTTTTGTATTGCGTGGTCGATGTGTGTTATTAGGCGTTTATTTATTGGGTGGAGAGGAAGGGGTGTGTGTGTGTGCGAGTGGGTGCGTTCGAGATTACTGGATATGGAATATTTTTTTCGTATTGACAAGATGGGTTTTCTTTGTATTTACAAAAGTAAATGGGGGAAGAGAGTTCTATTGACAAAGCGTTGCGCCCTTCTACCAGAGTGGATGTGTTGCGTGTGTGTGATGTGATGTGTGAGTGGGGTGTATGTGAGAGTGTGCGAGAGAGAAAAAGAGAAGAGAGAATAGTACACGAAGGGGGGATATATTGCAACAACGGGATAGCCGAGGTGTCTTTTCGTATTTTATATATCTCGTGGCACTTTCTTGGGTATTCTTTATTGGTGTATGTTGATATCTACTTGTATATCACTTTGGCTATTTCCCTATTTTCTTTTTTTCCTATCCCTAATTATTTATTCTATTTTGCTCGTGCAAAAAGAAGTGTACACACACTCTAACAAACAACAACTCAATCCAACAACAGGCTCTTGCAAGTGTCTGTGTGGGAAGGAAGATAATTTTTTTATTATCTGGGATGGCTGATAAAAAATGTCACCGCAGACGTAAACCATGTTTGGGGGTTAAATAACGTATTGTATATAAAGTAGTGTTGGGGGTGAGGAAAGCGGACGTTTCGGAAGGGCTTGTGTGTCGAGCGAGTTCCAAGGATAAAAGCTTGCTTGTGAGTAAACTTTCAGGTGAGCTGTGTCAGGCAGCAAATCCAGGCATCTGATTGATGGATGATGCAAATGTACGACGCTTGAGCATGCAATACGTAACTGAATTTGGAATGGTCGGAGTCGGGGTGTGCTGATTGATTATGTCGGTGGGATAAGTATGATAAGAAAAGTAGAAGAAGGGGGATAATATAAGAAAAGGAAGGGGGGTTATAAGAAGAGGGAGGGAGGGGAGGGGAGAGTTGGGGTGAGATGAAAGGGTCCGTGATAAGAACGGACGAAAGAGAAGAGAGGAAGAATGAAGAACCGAGAAGGAATGGATAACTGAAAGATATAATGGAAAGAAATATATGACACATATACAAAAGGACAGACGACGACGACGACGTTCAACATGTGCATAAAAGGAAAATAAAAAAGTAGAGAGGGTCGAGACTAATAATAACAGTAATGACAATAGTGATAGTGATAGTAATACTATTATTATATACATGGGTTGTATTTGTAATTCTCTTTATTTATGCGTTATTATTCAATAACATCAAGAGGGACATGTTTTTAGTCACCAATGTCCATCATCCCCCCATCATCACCTTTCTTGCCTAGGCAAATAAAATATCGACATTTGCGCAAAGAGGGCAAAGCATATATAGATGATTAACATAGCCACACCACAACATTTCTGTCGCCATGCAAACACACCACTCCAAATGAAGCGAGATTATCAAACCCATGCCTTGTCATTTAAGGATCGGAATGGGATACAGATTATGTCAAGAAGGCAAAAGAGATAGGGCAAGAAAGAGAGTGATGGCAAGAAAAAAGAGAGGGCAAGAAAGAAAGAGAGGGCAAGAGAGAGAGCAAGCAATGACATGAGCTAACTAAACGTAAATGTACTAGTATAGACTAGTTCACTATTACTATGCGAGCCTCCCTTACATTCCTCCCTTACATTCTTTTCCATCCAATCCACCCCCACCACTCTCTCTCACTCTCCACGTGTAGGACATATATTCGATATACGGTCCTCATTTATTACTGTCTCCATTAGGGTTTTGCAGTATAATAATAAACAAACATCTTAATTTATTTATATCACAAAATGTAGCAACGTATCACCATACGCCCATCGTCTATTTTCCTCTCTTTACTTGCCCGTTGGTATCACCATTGTATCCACTGTTTATGAAAAAAAATATGAATGGGAGTGTATGAGATGAGGGGGGATTTTAATCGTTTCAACAACAAAGGCAAAGAAAAGCGTAGTAATAACAATAAGCGCAGTAACTTGGCATGACAGTAGCGTAGCGCGGTGAACAAGCAAGCAAGCAAGCAAACAACCACAGCAGCAAGGGACGACCGAAACAGGAATGACAATAACGGGTAAACGATTGATGAAATAGCACACATTAATACTACTTGCTAGTCGCACTATTACTATCCACTGCAGCAACATGTCGTCATTCTTAATATTAGCCACCCACACCAATCGTCTGGGGGCTGAGAGGGGCGGACGGGCGGAACAGCTGGCGTTCTTGAACGAAAAAGAGGAGGAAAAAAAAAAAAGTGGAAAAACATTACTGTAGTGGGCATTCGAAATGAATAGTATATTTAATCATTGCATACTTATACATAGTAATAAATATGTTGTGTGTTTTGTGTTATTATTTATAAAGTTTATACCATCTATTTATGTTGTTTATATTGGATTGCGTTTGTATTTCTGGTTTATTATTATGGCAGCTTTATTTCTCGTTTTGGCCGATGTTTGTTTATGAAAAATGCTCATTATCAAGATTTAATAATATACTCTATTCACGATAAAACTACATTGAATAATTGACATATGGTCGATCACGTGAAATTTAGTAAGTATAGTAACCTTTTTTCTCTTTTGCCATTGAACCCATGTAACACTTTTTGATAGCATGATTGCATATCATTGTAGTCAATGGAGAAGCATGCAATCGGTTCCTCCGTTTTTGGTTGTGCCCTCATCCGCAAATTGAAAGCTGCAACTTGGAAAAAAAAAAGTCAATTTCCTGAATGAATGGTGCTATACCATTTTAGGATATACTAATTGTAGTTTGTGAAAAATATGGGGACAAAAATAACTACTGACGTCATGTGAACTTTAACCCGTTTTGTAATTTATACACGTGACCTACTGCATACTTTAAAAGTTGTAAAAGTTCCTCGCGATAGTTATTATTATTATTATTATTATTATTATTATTATTATTATTATTATTATTATTATTATTATTATTATTATAGTTTTACTGTTTATAAAAAATACTTTATTATGCCGCCAAGACAAGCTCGACAAGGCGCAAAACACGAGCTCTAACCCTCGTCAGTTTTTCGGTTTTCTACCTTATGTGCTGTGATGGCAAAGACGCAAAGAACGAGGGTGACCTTTCCGCAAAAAGACACAGGTCAGTTACATATCCAGAACTTGAACAAACACTTGAGGATGTGTCAGCATCAAATGGTACTAAACGATGCTATTTCTGGCGCGTGTAGACATACCGTGACGAGTGAAAAGATAAGCGAAACGAAGGGGACCTGATTTGCAAATCTCAATTCTGATGCGGTAGGCAGGGAAGTGGGATCGAGAATCTGACACCTTGGAAAACATAAAACAGAATATGAAGAAGCACATCATAATCAGAGCACTAGCAAACTGACTGGATTTTCTGTTGAGTGGTTCCAAAAATTTCAAATTTGAAATAATATTTGTCAAGTAAAAGCTTCAAGGAGAAGAAGCATCTGTTAATTTGAATATCAGTTGTTTAAAACTTTGTCATGGTTGTCTCAATCATGAAAAAAATAAAGCAGGTCTTTTCTATCAATAGATATAACATTATGTGTTAAAATGTTTAATGCAAAAGCCTTTGCCCATTCCATGTATCAGACAATATCAAACTTTCCCTTCCTCCAATTATAATAACAATTAGTGAAACCTTACTCATATTTTTAATGATGGAGGACATGGTCAATGACACCAAGCAAACAAGTAGTGTTGCTAGGTGAGCTTTTAATTAATTAAATAGAGGTTCTGTTGTCATGTATAACGAGTGACATAGTAATAGTGGCAAGTGCAGTTTTCTTCGATTTCTCTGCGTTGCTAAAAAAATAGATTAATTAATCCGTTGTAAAGATATGAAAAGCAGCTTAGTTTGGTAACTCGTGTACTCTGAATTTATATGTTTGATAGTAATATTTCTTAAATATAACTAATTGTTACATCGGATAAGATATCCCATATTAATATATTAAGTGTAAGCGCGTTTGTTATATGCTCCAACCGATAGATTTATCCCACGGTAAAGAATACACGGATTAATAATTGACACTAAAATTATAAATAGCAAAGCCTGTAATGTCAATGTCACTGATTGTCGACCTGTTTAAATTCCTAGAATGAATAATTAATCTTGTCAATAAAGCTAAACTTTTATTTTTAAGTGAATTTAATTTTCATGTAATCGAGCTATTTTAGAAGAGTTTGGTTTGGAAATAAAGTACTTCTCAAAAAAAAAAAAAAAGCTGATCATAGTGCGCTTAAAAAATTATATAGAGTCAATTGACTGCACTTTGAGACGTGTTCACTTAAGAGTACAGCCCCGCCATACAGCCCTTGTATCAGTATGCTTTATATAATGACAGCGATGATAACATAAGCTGACAAAACCTACGAATTCTGCTTATCTGAAAGTTAGGTTATTTATTGTAAACCGAAATATACATCATATCGCCTATCACATGACTTGATATCAATTGTTGCCCCCATACTAATACTAATACCCCATCTTCCCAAATTCTCTTCACCTTTCGAAATGACTACACAGCGGAAAGTTATCGTACTCACGGGAGGAAGTTCTGGGCTCGGGTAGGTCCATTACCACTTTATTCCTGATATGGCCACGCTGCAACAAAGTGAACTTTGTGACGTCATCGTCTTCACGTCGTGCTCTGGCAAAGACGCGTTCTCCTCGGTATTCGACAAGAACGAGCGCAGAGAGCCTGAAACACTCCAGCTGACCGAATCTGACTGCCTCAGCAGAATAAATTTCACGTTCAGAAGCCTTGCAAGCACGAGCATGGCTTTCTCAAAGAACTCAAAGGAATAGAAGGCGAAACTTTTCTTTATAACTTCGATTCGCAGTCTGGTCAGGCAGGTTGCAGGCTATAACTTTTATATTAATGGTCACTCTGGGATTCGTCGAAAGTATGGCAATTCTACATCAAGCCAACGATTGCGCGATATTCACTTGGGTTGCAGCCACACCTCATACACTCCCGTATCCTGTAACTGATACGTACCTTTGGTTATCTTCACAATGCAGGCATCAAGCAGTGACTACTCTTTTGACGCATTCAACGCCCTATCACATTATTCTTCCCGTCCGAAACGTAGAAGCTACCCGACAATTATATGATAATTTGCATCATGATCATATACTGGAAATTACAAACTTGGATCTAGAGTCATTTGAATCAGTAAGACAATTTGTCAATTGGTTTACAGAAAAGAATATTGGCTTGGATGTGTTGATTTTAAATGCAGGTGATTGCGTTATCTTGAGTAATAACTGTCCATAGACTTGTTCATATGTTAGAATAACCTCATGAGTAATCCTGTCAATATGCTAGAAAAGAAGAATTACAGACATATGTCTGGTCGACATTCGTAGATTTTTTCTCATTAATATTCTCTTTCATGTTTATAAATCAGGTGCAATCTTCCCAACACGACAAATAACAAACGACAACCTCGAACGTACCCTGCAAACCAACCATCTGTCTCATTTCCTGCTCGTCAACCTGTTATTACCAGCCCTTCTTTATCGTCATTCTCATCCACCATCTCACTCTAGTGACCTTGACTCGCATCCGATATCAAGAGTAATCTTTGTCTCGTCAGAACTTCACTCTTCAAAAGGCGGCCATGGCAAGGGATCATGTTTAAATGAAGAGAATCTGCAGGGCGAAATTGAGTATGACGGACTTGTTGCGTATCGAAATACAAAACTACTACAACTATTATGCGCATATCAACTAGACAAGATAATCAATGGAGAATGTATTGACGAGCAAAACATTGATAACAAAACCAGCGATAATGACAAGCACGATGATGTTAACGAGAATGATGATGAAGATGTTAATAACGACAAGAACGTCAACGCGGATCATCAACAAGATCAAGCTCAACAGCCAAGCCTGCCCAGACGCTCAAAGAACAAATTGTCCGTTATCGCACTTAGACCGGGTTTTGTTCCGCGTACAGGACTGGCACGCAATTTCAGTCTGGAAAAACGACTTGCGATGAAATACATACTTCCTTATATGCCTTTTGCAAGGACGGTAGAACAGGTATGGCTTACTCGAAATAAAACATTGTACACTATTGGATCTAATGCATATATATGACTTATCGATATTGTCTCTTACAAAAGGGTGGGAATGTGCTCGTTTACGCGGCTACTTCATCAGATCTCGAGAATTTCAGTGGCATATATATTAATCACAATTGTAGCATTGCTCCATCAAGTGACGAGAGCTATGTTATCGAGAAGCAAAGGTTCTGGTGGAATGTCAGCTGTCAGTTGACCGGATTGTCGGAGAGTAGAGTTTCTCTGGAGTGAATGGGGTTTATCTACCATTTAGAACATATGAAATTTCACGGATTGAATTTTACCGATAAGCACGTGGGAAGTCTGTTCTTTTGTCAGTCGAATCTATTAAGTTTACCAATATCGTGAACATCTATAATGAGCCTGCTCGGAATATTGATCAGGACGGCGGAACAGTTTCCTTTCCAAACCCATTTGTTACTCTGTATATTTGTTTGGATATTATCGTCTTTTTTAAACCTTCATATGATATTTTATTGAGTGGGGACGGACAATCTTTGTTACGGTTCGCGCAGACTCTTATGAAACTTAAACAATGCATTACTGTATATTTTATCTGCTGCTGATATACCAGGTATTGTACACTATGTAACTGTTATATCCCTAGTGATTTAGAAGAGCATCGTCGACATTGAATAAATATACAATTTATTTACATTCAGGAGTATCTGAAGATGTTGACATCCAACATTATGAAACCCATTTACATTTTGTAAAAAATGAACATGGAGGGAACGTCTAGTCATGGAAATAAATGATTTGCCGATATTCCAAAACAATCCGACTAGAACGCGTGGCAAGACATTCGGTGTCGATAATTAACGGATAAGAGAGAACGCGGCTTGCGATTACGGAGAGTTCAACAAAAAAACGCAGCAGGAAGAAACATTGCCAATTTCTGTGAACGAGTTAATACTACGAGTAACTGGTTCAGTCAAAGGCAATGCAATTCGCCAGAAATTGAGCATTTCAAGTTGCAGAAAAGTATCGATTTCCATTGTACTGCAAAGTTAAAGTAATGGTAACTACATAGCCAGTTGTTTCAGCTAGGAAAATTACTTTGGTAACCTACCATTAACATTGGGTTTTAATTTATTTGCTTCAAATAGGGAAACCGAGAAGCACGCGAATTGTACAAACACTGCGGCGATTGCTGTGTGGCGGGGGCGGCGATCGAAGAACAATCGGAGAACAACGACCGCTAGTGCAGCTGATTACTTATTAATATGATTTAGAAGACATTTATAATACAGAAGAGACTAGTCCTACTGGAAATTAGACCTACAAATCTCTTGCCGGCAAAAAAAAATCAAGAAGACAGAATCACAATAATGCTTACATGTAATGCGACGGGCACAAAATTACTCCCGCTGTTTACCATATTGAAAGCAAACACTTGCTGTACAATATTACTGGAACAATGCATCATGGATGCAACGTTTTAAAGCGTGGAGCAAACGTTAAGCAAAAAAGGCGGAGAAACATCTTGATAACATCAATTGAAAATGGGAGATTTAAGTTACTGGCGTGAGTTTTGGATTGGATAGATGAAGACCACGCAGATGGAGTGAATCGGTTCCAATTGTTTGTTGTCAATCAATTCTATTTGTTGATAACCAGCGCTTTTTTCCTACATGGCTCCGCGAGTGTTTATCACGGTGATCTGCATAACCATCGAATAATCCGGCTTAGAAAATTTTAGAGACTTTTCAATCAGAATGCAATCAACTGGACTGCACAGGAAACACAGGAAACAGCCACAACAGGAATTAGAATGGCTGAAGATAGAAAGGCCTCTATGATTCTTTATCACTGTCATACAGTAAGCTTGCTTCCATCATTTATTACTGCGTGATTTATATGGCAAACTGAAGTTTTATCCCACGAAAAGGATAAACTTCACTAAGTCGAAGGCAAAACTGCATCATCAGGTCAGGATTTTATGCAATCCTCTACTACTACTAAAATTTTTTCTGCTTTTCAAAAAGAGCTGTTTACTCGTATTCCGTCACTTAATCTCTTATCTTCAATTGCAGAACTGAGAAATTTCAAAAATATTAACGATATTGGAGAAAATGTGGAAGCCAAAGTATCTGGTGGACCGAAAATACGGAGTGAAGGAAGATTCCGAAAAACTCCTAAAAGAAGCCGTATTCGGTCTCGTTTCCTTATTAAGAAATTATTTGGATAAAGTGCGGAAAATTCGAAAAATTTATATACATTCATGATTCAGAGCATTGGTAGGAAAACTTGAGTGAAGAGAAACATGAAAATCTTGAAAGCATATGAAGTGAGGTGAAATTTGGTATTTATTTGCATTACTCTATATCTATAGTCATTCGTTAATTATTTTGATATAAAAATCTTACATGGAAATATTTGTTAATTAGGGTCATGAAGGACACATGAATGGAAGATAAATCATAATCAGACATGCACTTACTGCGCGATTAATAGTGGCGCCAGGATAAAAGTCACTGACTGATATGATTGATAACAAAGAGGCATATGTGTAATTGCTACAGCAGGGGAAAAATAACAGAAAGGGGGGAAGTCTGTTGATAGTGGTCGCTTTCAAAGTGGACGATTACTTTTTTTTGTTGGCTAGTTATATTACTATTCTTTAACTATTCCTTTCCGATAACGTTTACAGACACTTTTACGTCCAGAATATGGTCAAAAGCGTAATTCAAAATTTCGTATAAGACGCAGAACATTAAGTAAATCGATCAGTAATAGTTATAGTAACCTCAGGGCATGAAAGTCTTACAACGTTGAATTGGGAAATAAACAAATCGAACTTTTTCTAAAGCAATGTTGGGAACCTTGTAAAAATAAAATTCTCATAAATGTTTAGACATTTTTACTTCCTTAATTCTTGTTATATGGGGCAGACTGCAACAAAACCAGACAAAGTGAACATTTTATAAATATTAATATAAATGAGAGGCTGATTATGATGTGGCTGTAAAATTGACCAGTGTGACTGATGACCTTTGAAAAGTAATAATGGTGCTCATTCATAACTTATGGACTTGTTAATTTTAATGCTCATTTTAATGTGATGAATATAAATATAAACCATAACATAATTAATATTAATATAGGATTACCTCTATATAAAATATCAATATAAAACTAATTTACATTAATTCACTATGGAACCAAAGAATTACAGCACCGTTAGAAGCATTCGGGAAAAAAAACGAGGTGAAAAAATTGCGCCTTATATTTTTAAGATCAATGACACCCAAACACTCCAAGAATATCTAGATAAAGAAAAAATCACTTATGAAATTTACCAAGAAGAGCGAAAATAATAAACCATAATAATAAACCCCAGTATCAATCAGTTTCCCTTATCCGAGACTCAATATCTGTATACATAGATTCTCGTTCAAGTAGTTTCAATGTCAATAATGACTTGTATGCGTTTGTGCTGATCACAATATCGAGAATTCCATTGTGTCATAAGAATTTCCTTATCCTTGTGTTTAACAATATCATCATACGCTTTCTGCAATAGTGCTTTTAAATCTCCAATTTCTTTCTATGATCTTCTACTTGCTGTGTGAGACAATGCACGTTATTCAAGGTGTACAAACGTAACAAGAAGCCCAACATATAGAATGCACGCGACAACAGCATTCAAACTACTCTCTCTCCATTGTCCCTCTATTAACCCATACTCTCCTTTCAAACGAGTTTACGTATAACCTACGACTGTGCTCTATGTCCCAACCCCAACGCATGTCGTAATGCATTTCAACTATCCTCCTAATAAACGTGTATTCATTGCTTGCTTACCTTGTTGTATCTTTTCATATTCTTGAGCAATTTGTTCGGTAGTAAGGTTGGGGTTTTTTTGCTTCTTTTGATCAGCAATCTTGATAGGGTCCATGTTGTCAAGTTATGAGAAGGAGGCGAAAGATCTTACGTATATCTTGCTGCGTATCACGTTGTGGAACAATTGCAAGCATCAGATTGTCCTGATGTTTGAAACCTGCATATTCAGCTTACGCATGTATTTACTGCATGTGATCATTCCTGCCTATGATTCCTGTGCTAAATTAGTTACCTATTTTTATGCAAGCATCAAATATTCAAACAATGTTAGCCTAATTGTACAGTAGAAGCAACATAGTTTTCATTGTCATCTGTCACTCACAATTATTAATAGTTTGACAGGAAAGTTTGAATAGACACTTCAATATTTTCGCAATCGCTTACCATCGTCTTTTGAACTTTAGCCCTAAAAATAATAATTTTTGGAAACAAAATTTACTTTGAATAAATGATGGAAATTTGCCTGCTATTATAAGAAATATTCTTACTGCACTTTTTTTTTCTGCGTTAAATTTTGGCTACATATCATATAATTTTCTCTTCGCGCGCGCCAAGTTGATTGACAAGGTGTAATTTTGCGTATTTATTCAAGAAATAAAACTGTTATAATACGCTCTCATAATAATATCAATACGGGCACTATTTTCACGTTTATCAAAATAATTTTATCATATCCCCAGGACAAGAGACTTATTCATCTGCTAACTAGACAAGCGGTATGCGAACATTTCATATGACTACATTATGGTTAAGACAAAACTGCTTTTGCATTTAATATCGCCAATAAATCGTTGTTCTCGGGATTGAAAGGAACAAAATAAATGTATGATTAATGACACGCTTTCGAAAAGAATCTTTGTTTCAGAACAATGTAGTAAGATTTAGAAGCGTAAATAAGAATAAATATTATTATAATACTTTTAAGTATGTAATTTAAATTGGAATTCCCGGACATATATAACTTACTTGTCAGGTAAATGGCTGCCTGTCAGACTTGCGCCGCAATATAACACAATAACCAAAGAGCTTTTTTTTTATATCAAACCATGCCAGTTTTGGAAACTTTAATCAAGAAATCGATAACTTGGTCCAATCCTCCTTGGAAAGTGAATATGCAAACTTGAGGCTTGAACAGATTCCTTGCTCGGAGATTACTGACGTAGAGCCAAGTCCAATTGACAACGTCTACTGGGCAAGTCGCAAGGAAACAAATGATGATAGCTATGAGATAATGTTGGTATATTACTTGGAAGCGGTGCAACCTGTACACCAGCACTTGTGAGTGAGTTTGCCCGAATATACTCACTTCCATCACACAAATATAACAGTGACATTAATCAGTTTAGAAGATACTCCAAATGGCTTAATCATCGCAACAATAAAAAACTCGATGAGTTTATTAAGCAATCTCAATTATGGACAAACTCGCCAAACGACGCCTATTTGGAGTGGATTCCAAATATTATTGATGAAGAGGACTACCTGGATGGTCTACCTACTTGCTTGGCCACTAAAATTGATTCCACTTGAGATATCAGACGAGACACATGATTTGTATTATGCTGAGGTAAACCATTTACTTATGCGTCATGTTTATTGAATAGTTTAGAATAATTATTGACCTGTTATTATGTATCATTAGTTATGTCATAAGTATCCAGATATTCTTATCAAGGATGTTTGGATTACCATCGGATTTACATACAGCGAACAAATATATTATCTAATAGGAGAAGAGGAGGAACACGGATTATGTCTGGCGTGTACGGAGCAAGTAGAACCTAGGGTAAACGCATTCTGCTGACCTCTTGGTTGGACTACGGGCAACAAGTCTTTGGATTCGTTTATTATGGAATCGTGGAAGAATACGGAGATAAAGACAATGACTATTTACTGTGGATAGAATACTCGCTATTGACAAACGTAAAAGAGGTAGCATCGTTACCTCGTGGATGCACACATTCAGCAGAGTGGTTAGAATCAACAACGAATGAATTGACACGAATGACGCTCAAAAGGATAGTTAACGAATATGGCGATCAGTAACGATAAGTGCAGATGTATAACATCGATTATTGTCATTGTCGTAGTTGTAATGACTGTATTTTTTATTTACTCAAATAGCTAACGAAGGAATTCCCTGAAATATTAACGCCCGAGAATATTTGGATAATCGGAATCACACAAGAGCCATATACTCAGGACTACTATTTAGTGTTCTACCACGACGAATATACATTGTTGAACAGATTTACACAAACTCGCGAACATGTACGATATATGCAGTATAACGACTTGATCAAATTAAGGAGATTGGATCTGGAGGTTATGGAATAGTCTATTCTGCCAAATATAAAAGGTATTCAGAAGTAGTGTATTTGGCGGAAACTGTTGCGCTAAAAACGCGTCTGACAAAACGCTGGAATTACTTATTTCCGAGGTAATAGTAAGCAATCATCGGCGGTATTAATTAAATCGATATAATCTGACTTTGTATTAATTTTTATTTTATAGTTCAGAAATGTTATAATGTTAATTTCCTTAAAATTTATGGAGTGACACAAGACCCAGAAACAAAAGAGCACATGATTGTTATGCAATATGCTAACAATGGTAATATTTTGTCTTATTTGGCTCAAAATATTAACAAATTGACGTGGATGGATAAATTAAAGTGTTTGGAGGATATAGCATATCGTCTGCGTATTATTCATAATGTGGGATTAGGGCATTGTGGTCTTCATGGTGGAAACATTGTTATGAATGACAATACGGGTTATACAACAGCATTCATATGCGATCTTGGTCTTTCTCAATCAGTGAATTTATCTCAACAAAATTCAATGCTTAAAGGTGTTCTACCCTTTATTGCACCAGAAGTCTTCCATACTCACAAATTTACTCGGCAGTCATATGTATATTCTTTTGGCATCATTATGTACTTGATGGCAACTGGCGAACCACCATTTAGGCATAGAGAATTTGACAGAGATTTAGTATGCGGCATTATGGGTGGGCTACGACCATTGATGCCTGATTCCGCACCAGAGGAATACAAGAAACTTACCGAACGATGTTGTGATGCTGATCCTGATAAGCGTCCTGATATGGTTACACTTTTGCAAGATATTCGAAGGCTTACTGAAGAGGTGAAAGACGACAACACGTGGAATATTATCTATCATAATAACGTAAAACCCTTATCGCGACTCGAGAAGGAGAGTAAATACTCTAGTAAACTCTTACCTATTAACGATTTTGCCTAAACCGAGAAACAAATACGATTACGGTTTGAGGTATGTGACAACAGCTGGTTACACGTTGAAATATAATTTACGATATTAACATCGTTTCTCTGATCTAGTGACTCAAACTTGAGTAACGGTTATTCACAGTTCGGTAAAGCGTGAATTGGTTCAACTATTACTATTACTATTCGAATTCGAAGAATCGCAAATTTGTCTTTGGTATTACAAAGTCAGCTGATAACCACTATATATTAATAAATTAAAATTATCGTGTTTAAATATAAATTCCGTTCTTATTATTATTGACGCTGTAAATCGAGCTATTTCAATTATTATTAATATGGGTAATCAAATCACGTGATGGATTTACATTGCGAAGATTGGAAATTTGCCAAAAACCGACTTATCGAGCTGTATTTGATTATCACAGGAGAACTATCTTTTAGAGATATGCAGTTCGAATAGTAATTTAGTATCTTGGCGACCATCGACGTCTGATTTAGCACGCTTGATTTCAGCATAGCGTTACAAGAAGCAACATGTATCACAGAGAAATATAAACCCTTGCTGCAATGTGTGATTTCCAACACGCGTCCAACAGTTGAAAGTTACTTTTATGACCTACTAACAGAAGCGGACGAGGATATCCCGGAAAATGACATGTGTGATGCCATTTATCATAATGATGTAAGGTCCTATCATGTCTCGAAAGTACTTAGTAAAACTCTTGTCTACTGGGAATTTGGCTTAAACCGAAAATAGCTACAATCGCAGATAACTTCATTCATTATCTTCTATTCGCGGCTCAAACTTCTTGATAAGCTTGTAATTTACTATTGAAACTTTAACTTTTCAATTAATTAAATTGTAAGTTTAAGTTTAAAATTTAATTGAAATGCATGTAGTTAAGAATAAAATCTGGATGCATATATCAACAGAGTATGATATATCAAATTTATACGTAAGGAATACACGGGGAAATCTAGTAAAGTTCACTGTATATCAAATTAAAGTGACTTTTTGAAAATGGCGTTCCAATGGCTGCGCGCAGCGAGAAAAGCGACAGACCAGTAAGTGCAATAAACGTAGCAATATCATTGGAAGGAGAGGGAGGGATATGTCGATCACTGTATATGTATGTAGTTGACAACGTTACTTTTCCGTAGTGGGTCAGACTTGTTGCCAGAAACTATCATTAGACACGCCTATTGACACGTTAATCTGATCTGTGCTATAAAGTATGTGCTCGATACGCTTAACAAGAGTTGATAGAACAATTTAATGTAATATCGTCCGCCTGTTCTAAACAAATATGATATGGAAACGGGAATTAATCAAAATAACGTGCATTTGATTGATCACTGTGAAAAAAGTCTCTTAATAAAAGATACTCAATTCAGGTTAATATTTCCTAATTTTCAATGCGTTTATTAATTCTTCGATATTAAATCCAGCGCAGTGGTCGAGCTGTAACATTTGTAATATTATCTTTTATAGTCAGAGCTTTCTCTTACCGCTTATCCATAGAGCTTGTTTGTTCTGTCGTTCTCTGAAAAGTTACAAATTCCAGTTGTATTATGATCAAAGTTGAACGTCATATAAAACAAAATCAATGTTTATATGGATTTTGATAACGTAAACCGTCGGTGGGTGATGGTCGATGGAGATTCTCTTTATGATGTACTTGACCAATCACGAACACAAAACTTTGGAAGCTTATGACAAAAACATATTTCATGTGGAGAAACGCATGCCATAAAAGAGGAACGTGCACAGATTGGCATTCACGTTGCGGTAATTTCAAAATGTATTTTACGGCGTGTTGGGAATTGACTTGGTTTATGTAAGCAAATTATGCTAGTTTTGCGATGCACGTTAGATAAGCTTGATATGGAAAATATTCGAAAAAGTATTTGTTATAATTGTTCCGTTGAATCAGTCAAAGATGGCTATTCAAACATTAGAAACGTATTTGAGAGAAACAGACTGTTATCGTGGCTAACAGGTTTGTTTTGTTTTGACTAATAGAAAAAGGTAGTTGAACAGCCAGACGTGCAAATTAATTAGTTAAGACACGATTATTATGGAAATGGCAATGTATTAAGTTTATTTACAATTCATGACAGCTGATTTGGAATTTTTTCTCTTCGCCCGTACAAGCAAGATAGTGATTATGCCATTTATAACTCGTCAAAAATGAAGAGTGCTATGCTGAACGACTGACATGCTGTAATAACACGTGTTGTACGCATATTAATACACGTGGTGTGTAGATATAATTAATTGATGCTCTTTGTGAATAACTTATGCCAAGTTGAAAGATAGCGTGGCGTTATTTTAAGGTTAGCGATTTAACTAAAAGCTTATCTATGCTTTGACGTTGCATTATGTTAGCTGCCAAAACTAAAAATTGCTGTAAATTAATAATTGATAAACGATAAACGGCAAGTTGTTATGTCGCTTGACAAATTATCTGATTGGTTCGGGGTTACGTCCGGTCCGTCCTTTAGCTGAATCTCGACTTTTCGACGGTGACCTTCCATCTGATTAACTCCATCTTATCTATCAATCCAATTGGATGGGAAAGCGGTACATTTCGTATGCTTCGTAGAGATCATTATCTGTTCAATTTTGGAATTAACCCTATTGTTTTTTTTTCTGTCAACCCTATCGACGATGACAATGTTTGTCGCTTGTACGTAAGGTTAACGAATGGTCTGCTCTGATTTTTTTAAACTTTCCGTTTCATGTCTTGATTGGTTCCGTCCCATCCAGTATCTTGCCCTTTGGTACTACACGATAGCACTTTGGTGATTGCACAGTCTTGAATTAGTACGTTATCATAATCAGTTGTTTGTTTGTACTGATAAACAAACTGCGAAAAACATGGTGATTCCGGTCGTCCCGACCCATAATACCAACACACCAAATATGTGTACGATATATAGTAGTTCCAGTCTTTCCTTGCTTGCTAAACAAGTTTTTTCCTTCATTCAATGTCCGAACCATGGCTCGGTGTTAATTGTTCCTTTGATCATGCGACTTCTTTATTGGCATAAGCAATGAATCACACGTTTTCGATGACTTACAGAATAAAGGGTTAATTATAACAATGGCAAATTGACATTTTTATCACAATGAATGTAAACAAAAAAGTTGGGCCCTTTTACTATTACAAGAAGTGATGTTCATTTAGTGGTACAGTGCAAATATTCTGTATCATCATAACGTTCAGAGATCTGCTATCTATACCGAGCGAATGACAGTCGACTTTCAGTCCGAGACCAGAAATGCCGAAGTGCCATGTACGAAAAAGGGAGAGTAGAGAGAAAGCAATAAATAGGAAAAAAGGTTGATAATGGCAAAAAAAAGAGGTTTTGGTATTTTTACATTTTCCGCGGCCGTTTGTTGAAACGTGTTTCAATTCCCCCTTTTTTTCAAAGCATTCTCGGATTTATGGTTGGGAGCATTGAATATTAAGTGCGTTTCTCTCTTCATTATTTATTACCAGTGCTCAGTCAATTAATACGCAAGTTTGATACTATGATTGGCCGAATAAACCGGAACGTTCCTTACATCCTTGAATACCTTACATGTTTGACACCATACCCTTCATGTTCTTTGTATTAAACCTAATAATGAAATAGACATTCAGGTCATTAACCGTTAATAAGCAGATGTAACATTGTTTGTACGTTCAACATGTCTCTGACGTCTTTACAGAAGAATTGTGTGTGTGTGATGTGGGACATGTACGAATACGCCTCGGGTGGAGATACCCTCATCAGGTAATGCAAAGAAGAATGTGCGGAATATGCGCTGCATTCCATAATAGATAAGCATATTATCATTATCTCGACACATCCTTTCCATATTCGTCTGTCATATTACAATGCAGGCCTATCATTATTAAGCTTGGACAATCGAATCAGAGGTCCAAGTTTGGATGTTCATTACATGTTTAACTTTGGGCTTTTAACGTAACGTAAACATAATCAATTTGATGCAATCTGTTTATTCTATGTCTATTTTGGTAATAATAATTAGAACTTTGTATTCTTACTTATATCCAGGCCTTACACCCCCACTTATCCCGACATGACTTTCTATCCCGTTCTGTGGTGCGAATGTTCATACCCACCCCCTCGCTTTAATTTATATTAAACCACATATAAATATATACATACACGGCGTTCATCCAATATATATATACACACCCTCCCGCATCATCACTCTTGATTTTACGTCTTGATCGCACTGTCGTTGAACATTCATAATTGTGTCTCGCTGGTCCACCCACATGTAGCAGCAGTCGAAAATGATTTTAGCCTGGCTACTGCCTGTTGTACTGATACTACGAGCTGGCCTCGTCATGGCTCAAAATGTAGACGGTGCAAACCTGGGTATAAATATGTATGCGAAAGGAGATGAACATTTGACAACAATCATGTTGACAAACAGCCATTCAGTACAACCGGGTTATAATGGGTGGACAACAAGAAGAAGAATAAAAAGAATGCGAGACGGAGAGAATACTAGGTTTGAACATCGAATAAAGAACGGGATATGGGAATTGACGAAAAGTGATGAGCGTGATCCTGTTGGTGTGTTTCGGGAAGAGAGTGTTGCTAACAAGAATCAAAAGAAAGCCGTACCCATAATAGCGACTGACAATAATAACGTGAAAGAAAGTGTTAAAAAATCATCATCAACGCTACCACGGTCGCCACCACCACAACTGTCTCCATCCCCATCCTCCTCCCCATCCTCCTTCCCCTCCCCCTTCCCCTCCCCCTTCCCCTCCCCCTTCCCCTCACCATCATCTGATACCATACCACAAAAATACACAAACTCTCTTCCTCGAAAATTAGTGGCCGAGAATTCTACTCGTCTAAACGAGACAACAACGGCTTCTACCAACATTTCAGACCCAAACTGTTCACCAAATATACTTGACTATTGTATCCACAATGACTGTACGGCTGCTAGACCCAATTGTTTGATCGTAAACGGAACTGCCAGCTGCTCCCCTAGAACTGACGAAGGATGGCGCTTGAGCTCTTGCCCCGAATCGTTAAGCTATACTGGACCTTATCGCAAAGAAAACGAGACCTGCGTGTTACTGACCACTCCAACAGATCCAATGACTTTGACTAAACTATTATCGGTTATCCTCAAGACAACCAATGAGACAGATGGATATTCGACCGAACCACTTGAAGACTATGGCAACTGCGACCCTTCACTATATTGCGATTCAACATCAACACCGTCTGTGTGCAGGCCCAAATTGTCTACCCAAGTGGAATGCGAGTCATCAAACCAATGTCAATCAGGTCGGTGTTTGGAGAAACTACAAGACGGTACAGGACCCAAAGTGTGTTTAGACACCAATGAAAACAGCGATCAACCATCCCCCACATCAATATCCAGCTCTTCAGATAACACTGATAACGATGACTCGAATGTGTCGGCTCTGCATGAAAAGCTCAAACTAATATTGATCACCGTCCTACCAATTTCTGTTGGAATTCTGATTATCATTGCGCTTATCATCTTGGTAGTTCGCCTACGACGCAGAGAAATGAGAAATCGCAATATACAAGTGTCGTATCCTAAAGAGATTCTGTTCCAAGACAGTCCACGCACAACATGGACAAATCTCACTCGATCCTTCACCACGATCCGAGAATCCATTATTCGCTTCTCTCAATTTTCACGCACGGCCGATACCGATGATCAAGAACGGCGGGCATCAGCCGCACAACATGAACAACAACAAGAGCGGAGGGATTCTAACAGGCAATCACCATTACTCCCTCCCCCTCCAAAACTGACCAATTCGCTAATGTGGATGCAAACACCTCACCCATTAAAGCCGGTTTATGAAAGGATACGCGCAGTCAGGTCGTCGCCTACTCATCAGGAAGATTTTGGCACTGCCGGGCAGAATCCCGCTGGGTCAACTTATACTCCTGCCTTTGTCTCGTCTAGTGATTCCGAGAGGATATATCAAGAATATATATGATGTAAAAGGAGAAAAAAGGGAAATTAATTTTATTTAATCAACGAGTGCGCATATGTACAGTATAAAACAAAACGATTGGGTAGAAAAAAAAATGAACAGATGACTGCAAAAAGCATTCGTTTGTGCGTTTGTAATTTAATCGGACACTTTTGGTATACTCGCGTTTTATTCTATTTAATTATATATAGTAAAAATCTTGTATTTAATAATGCATATTCGAAATTTTAATAAAAAAAAAAAAACACACAAAATAATCAAAATTATTACCATGGGCTTCCGTACGCTAACCGAGCTAACTGACAGTATTCCATCATGACATTTAGGAAACATAGTTTGCGCTAACATACGAGCGGGCCGCCGCTTGCATGCATGTGATCTCTAGACTATTTTCACATTCTCAACGCGCACACGTCATCCGAGTATCCAATAAAGTGCTATTGTTCTATGTGTTTGACAAATGTTCTCGACTTGGTTCACAAGCAAGTCACTTACCCGGTCCAAAAAAATTCACAGATAATAATAATATAACAGCACACACGCCAAGTCGAAAAACAGAATTAAAGGAAAAATCGAGATTTTCCTAGGAGCATTCGGCAGCTGCGCAACTTGATGTCAAGAGGATTGGTTTATCAAATACAATTGTGGGGGAGATTCTTTCATTTTCGTATTGTCCGTTATTTCGGTTAGTAGATGGTGACTATTATCCGAGCTCGACGTAAATCTATTAAATATAAAAACCCTTCCATATAAGAAATCTGCCTATAAAAAACATCTTTTGCTGGTTCCAATTTCACGTCTCAAAAGAAATTTCGATGTAAGAAAGCCACTTTCTTATATCGAGACCGCTTGTAATAAGTTGTGCGCTTTTGTTGCTATATTGTTATGGACAAGAGAAGAAAGTCCTTTATTCGCGGCCCATGCGCTTGAGCCGTAGAAGACGATTATTCAGACGTAGTCGAATTAGGCGTAACAGAGAAAATTCCCCGACGCAAGTTTTTCATATAAAAAAATTTTTTATAAATGATGGAATATTTGATACGTGTTTTTATCACATGACCAACCATTCCCAAGTTCAACGCGATAACAGACAAATAGAATTATGTTCGATTCAGACCGATATTCCAGCAAAATACAACCATCTTGACTCGAACTTTTTTGCTTCCATTTTCACTAGGGGTTTTGACATTGATATGTTTAAGCGGCGGATAGGCAAATAAAGATTAGCTACTAACCTCAATAAAACAGGTCATACTACTCTCCTTCTCACCACGTGATACCACAATATAGGAGGTTGGTTTTATTAAATTGCATGTAAAATCATTTAATGTTATACTGTCATATCACGATTACCTTTTCTTTTTTTTTGTGCAGGTTCTCGTCCATTTTGGGCCTCATCTATTCTTCGTATTGACTCTTTAGTTGTAAGGTGGGGAATATCAGCCCAAAGTCTAAACGCAATCGGATGCTTATCGGGATCAGCGTCACAACACTGTTCGGCAAGTTTCTTGTATTCCTCTGGTGCTGAGTCAGGCATCGTTGGC